GGGGGGTGGCACGGGGCGGGCGGTAGACGGTCCCGCTACGATTTTTGAAGTCGTGGCGGGAAGGTCTACCCCCCGTCCCCACGCTCATAACCACCCATGCCCGTCATTGTCTGCTGGCCATGGCGGTGGAGTGCAGCTGCTGTTGTCGCCATCGCCGCGCCGTTGTTGCTCCGGTCGTCGTCGCCGCGCTGTCGTTGTTCCGGTCGCCGTCGCCTCCATTGTCGTCTTGGTCACCATCACCAGGTTTGTGTGCGTGTGTGTGTGTGTGTGTGTGTATGTGTGTGTGTGTGTGTGTGTGTGTGTGTGTGTGTGTGTGAGAGAGAGAGAGAGAGAGAGAGAGAGGGCACCTTCCTCGGATGCCAGTAAACGCTAACGTAGCTTATGGTGGGGTTGCTTGCCAGATCAGGCAGCATATGCATCGTGCTGCTGGTGGCTCTGGCCATGACAGGCAGAATACTCCTCCATGTTCTTCATTGCCTTTTGCCACTGCTGCTGCCATGACTGCCACCACTCGGGTCGCTGCTGCTGCTGCCGGCATCACCGTGACTGCGGCAGGAGCGGTGGCTCCAGCCACCATTTTCAAGGTTTGAGCACTTATTTCTCCATGCTCAACCCTCCTTCACCACATGCACGTTAAAATGTTAATCTTAGACCACCACTCCCTCAGGGGCTCCCCAAAGAAAAATGTGGCCGTTACCTTGCGGCTGCAGGCTGGGCAAGCCTATTGGTAGCAGTAGTTAGTCTCCCATGATGGTTCAGCAGTCAAGGGTCGGGCCAAAATCAGGCTGCACGAAGTAGAATCAGAGAAAGTGGTGCTTTAAGATGGTACGCCAATGGAACACTCATCTAGCCCCTTGCAGTTCAAATCTTTCCCCGACCATGGTAGAACATGACGTAACTCTGTGTGTACGAACACGGGCCTAGCTCAGTTGGTACACCAACGACCTGCGGAAATACAGACTTGAGTTCAAATCCAGATACAACCAAAATGGCCAGTATGAAATCATTCCGACTTACCTGGGGCCGGTCAGTTCAATCATGATATTCAAATGCCGTCGCCCTTTTTTTTTTTTTTTTTTTTTTTTAAGACATAACTCTGTGTATAAGATGGTAGAACACAGTGTCACTCTGTGTATAGTCGTACCCGTTAATCTGAGAAAGGTTATGTTCTCCAGGCCACGAAGCGACAACTGCATCCGGTAGAAGCGCAGTGCGTCCTCGATTCAACCCAGAGTCCCAGGGAGCATACGGTAGAACTTGTGAACCATTAGAATCTCTGGATTTTTCGAATGGGGAAACCAGTAGACTTTTCAAGCCCTTGTAGGGAGCAAAGATGGCAGGTAGTTACCTACCGTCTTCCCCCGAATAGAACGTACGGTCATTATAATTGTATTTGGTGCACCTTTCAGTCTTTATGGAGTGATGATGACCGCACGTTCTATTTGGGCAAAGACGGTACATTCCATCTTTCATTTGGAGTTGCGAAGATCGTGAAGTCGTGGGATCTTCAGATGCATCGTTGCACTGCAGTGAGGTCGCCTAATGCTATCAAGGTGTGCGATTCGTGTATTGCTTGGCATCAGGCCAGAAACAATTGTGGAAACAAAGGTCTGTATGTCTCTCCTTTCTTTTCCCCCCTGTAATAAATTGGACCATTTCTCCATATATGTGCATCATCCTTGCACAAGGGGCATAATCTTCTCTGTATCTTTCCTGATTTTAACGGATGTCCCAAAGCGGTCTGTATGTCACTCTTGTCCTGATGCTGCCTGGAACTTGTGAGGGTTAATGAGATTAATGACTGTCTTGAGACCCCTACTTAGCCCTTTGTGTTTCCATTTGTTGTTTTGTTTGTGTTGGGCCTGGTACCTGGAACTGGAACCTGGAACTACGCTGTGCAGGTGCACAAACTGTTCCAGGGAATAACTCCAATTAGGGCACTCTTTTCAGTTGGTACAGGAGCAGCGAAGCTTGTCGTGCTCCCGGCAGAGCAGTACAAGAAAAACAGGTCAAACCGCTCGTTATTTAGGGGCATGAGGAAAGGTAATCGGAAACAACCTATGCGCTTAGCGTCACATCTTTCTTTTTGTTTCTTTTTCCTGATCTCCTTAATAAGAAAACTTGATTGCAACGTTGTTGTGTTTTGTGACTTTTGTCCCTCCCACCCCACTCCACCACCATTTGTCAATATCATGAAATGCGCCTCATGCAATGACATGGTTCATTGAGGACCTGGTTGAGGACCAGATGGTGCCAAAGAACAGTGGAACGGGGAACGGAAGTTGGCACAACAAAGGTGATGATCTTAACCAAAAAGGCGAAAGGTATCAAAATCAGTGTTGCATGGCTGATGGTCGGCGCCCCTGGATTGGTCGGCGGTTGGTTGGCACCATCCCCAAAAGTTTCTCGGCGGATTTGAGCTGTACTCAGCAAGCGCATTACAGCCCGGATCTCAGGTTAAAACAAAAAACAGTGGGTAAGATTGAGATATCATTTCCCGACCTTTTGGCCAAATGTAGCATCTATTGATTCCATTCTGATCAGTTTGAAAAACGAAGGACAAAAGAAGATTGAAGAGATGTTGATGTATCAATGGCAATCATGATAAGTTGATGACTATCCACTGCCGTTGATGACGATTGTGGGTGATGATGGTGACCGGACGATAACATTGGATCTTCTTTCCACGTAGAGTGGAGTAGGAACGCAGTGTATTTTGGCCGCTCGATCCGCTGCGTTATCTGGGGCGCATATTTCAAGAAGAACCTCCGAGAGTTCGATGCCTGCATTGCGAGTAGTCTCTAGGACTGTAGTCAGAGAACCTGTGCGAACACTGCGAAGTAAAGTAATACAAAAATTTTAAATTTCAGTTTTTGGTGTCTACTTTCACTTTGACTTCAGGGTGCAATTTCTGATCTTTGTTGCGTCTTACAACTCACGGGGCATTGTTTATGTTCGTTGCCTGGTGGTTTTCCTTTTTTCTTTCCCCCCTCAAAGAAGAGGGCAACAACCTTGAGGTATCATCTTTGAATTGACCAGCCCCCCAGGTAAATTCAAGCTTATTTCCCCATCATCTGGGATTCGAACTCAGGTGTGCATTTCCACAGTTCACAGACTGAGCTAAGCCAGTCAGTGTTTGTTGCGTCGTGTTGACCACCAAGGCAATTGAACTGTCAACATATAATGAAAGGATCTGATGGTTAAAAAAAAAAAAAAAAAGAATGCAGATGATGGTTAGGATTCATGCATTCAAAATTTCAAAAATTTAAATTTGACAATTCAGAAGAGTGCTTTCACTGAAGCTGCTTGTTCCTACTCTGTTCCATCACAGGTGCATGTGCCTTTCTGAGAAGTATCTCGCTGGAAGCAGTTGGACTGGGAGCCCACCTAGCTGGCGGTGCCCATGACCTGCTACACCATGCGGAGGTTGCACTTGGGGTTCCTCCACATCGTCATCGTCAGCATTCTCCAGGCAGTGGTATTCGCAGCTGTCCTCCCTCAGATCTGTGCACACCATCCAGATCAGCACAACCTGTGGACATGAAAGAAGGTCTTAAGCAGGTGTGTTTTCTGACAGGCTGGTTCTTTTCCCTGGGTCAGTCCTCTATACAAAGACTGACATAACTGTCGGTCAGGCGGGCGGTCGGGTGGGCGGTCGGGCGGGAGGTTGGGCGGGCGGTCAGTCGGGCGGGCGGGCGGGCGGTCGGTCGGTCGGTCGGTCGGTCGGCCAGCCGGTCGGTTGGTCGGTCGGTCGGCCAGCCTGCCTGCCTCTGTCCGTCTGTCCGTCCGCCTGCCTGCCTGCCTGTCACACACACACACTCTGTCCTGGCAGATTCGAACAGCTAGGATCGGGCTCATACTTGTGAGCTACTCCTTTTCTGTGTTTGGATATGTTTTGTTGGTTTTGTTTATTATACACGGCTTTATTCTTTGCCCTACTTTAGAGCATGGGTTGTTTGGATGTCTATGGGTGGCGACAAGTTTTTGGGGGGGAGGTAAAGTATGTTTTGTGGGCCGGAGCAAAGGCTCTCCAAGTTTTTTAGGACCTTTGGCGGGTTGGGTCAGTGCTTTCTTGCTGGAGGAGTCTTCTGTTTTAGGTAAGTTGTATTTTGCCTTCCACCACTTCGGTATTGACGTGAATGGGTAGTCTGGGATGAAAGTAGTGCCTGTGGTGTCGTGCTTGTGTTGTTTTTGTGTACTTGAGTCCGTGGTTTTGTGGACCGATGCGGAAGGCTCTCCAAGTTTTTTCGGGCCTTTGGAGGTTTGGGTCAGTGCCTCCTTGCTGTAGGAGTCTCCTGTCTTACGTAAGTTGCCTTTCGCCCTCCATCCCTTTATGGACTATGAAATACATATGTATACATATGTATATGTGCAAGTGTGCCGCTTCGGCGGCCGAAGGGTGTGTGCGCACTTGGCGCTGAACCACACAAACGTGGCCAACCTTGCATTTTTTACCATCTTGCCTGTCTTGAAACGGTTTTCACCTTTTTGCAGTCACAGATGCGGATCCCAGGGCTCGATCCCCAGACCTTACCTTACCTTACCTTACCTGTGTACAGTATCAAGTCAACCCTGTGTCTTGAACCCGTGACCTGTGTGTTAGTAGTTGGAAGTTGTCTGTCGTAGGTTTGAGTAGTTGTCGGGTCGTGAACCTTAGACCTGTCGAAGTAGGGGTCATACCTGCATAGGGATCATAGTTGTTGTAGTCCTGAAAGGTCAAGGTCGTAGCTGCTACAGTCCTGAAAGGTCAAGGTCGTAGCTGCTACAGTCTTGAAAGGCCAAGTCCGCAAACTTCTGGAAGGTCCGGAAGTGGCCTTTCAAGTTTCTTCTCACGTTATGCACAGCAGACTCGAGGCAAGTGGGCAAGTGGTGAGTCCAACTTCGCTTAGTCAGCGGTACCCAGTCCCAGTCTCACTTGGTACAGTCAGCAAGTACCATGAGGGACTGTGTGCACCATGCGCCCGGTGGAAAAGGGCAGAGCAGCGACTTACAGAAGTATAAATCAAGAGGCGGCGTCCAGCCATTCATTCATTCTAGCGTGAGCCATGTGGAAGCGCTGCCCAGGCATCTTGTGCAAGGTGGTCTGCAGAAGCCCGAGGTTGAAGTGGGCTGAAGAAGAGAGAGAGGGCCATAGCCGCTGTAGCTTAGAGATAGAGTTCAGTGTGTGTGTGTGTTCTTTGTACAGAGTTGTGAGCGTGGGATATCCAGGGTGATCCAGAGACAAGTGTGTGCGAACAGTGTGTGGACAAAGGATGTATGAGAGCTCAGGCGCCATAGCCAGTTGGAAGAGAGTTGTAACTAAACTGTGTTTTCGACTTGAGTATCTCTGAGCTTTGTGTGGGCGCACAGTGCCAGCGTGGATTGCCACCTGTTTGCATGTATGTGGAGTGAAGAAGAAAGCGAGTCTGATTGTAGTCTCCATTTTTTTTGTTTTATGCATGGTTTATCATGATTCATGGAGGGAATGATAGAGAGAATCTGGGGTTCCGTAAACACACATACACACACACACACACACACACACACACACACACACACACCCCGCTCAACCACAATCAACGTGGGCAGCCTTGTGCGTAAGAGGCACAGTAAAAGGGGAGCTGCAAGAACAATGAAAGGGGTACCCCAAGGACAACTGTAATGAACCCAGATCGTGAACACAGTTGTCGACAATGCAAGTCCAGATAGATATCAACAGCTGATGAGAACCAATAATCAAGATAGTGTCCAG